GTTTACAGCGTGCTTTTTTCGTCGCGCTGTGATGACAGCAGCTACGCGGTTTCATCGAGCGCGCTTTAGTCGAACACAGTTTTGTGGTGGAACCCAGTTTATCTCCTTCAGGGTGATGGGATTGGCCCTCACTCAAGATCCAAAACAGGAAAGACATCAAGACATAATAGGAATTGGCCAACACCCTTTCAGGACACAAGACTCCTCATTACATCATCTCAGAGAGTCAACCAAACTTAACTCAGACAACCTACACCCCAGCTATGACCCCTGCATAGCTCCATCGGAGTTTGAAAGCAACCAGTAGAATACATGCTCTTACCACAGGATCAGCAAGCTCAAGATCAGAGAGGGTATAAATAACGCCCACTCTCCACTCCATGTGGGCCAGGAGCTCAAACCCAGGTGGTCCTGTTCACCCATAAACCATCTTTCTGATCAGCCCTGCATGTTTCCGGTGTTTTTCTCCCATTTGGAACTGAACCAGATGAATTTTTCTTCCAACACTAAGCAGCGATGGGGCCTCAATAAGAAATACTGTGCTTGTTAGCTACGTATAGATGTAAAGGAAAAGAAAATCTCAGCAGAGACAAAGGGTCACGCTTCAGTCTTATAGCTTCAGTTAAGTTGCAGAGGGATGTTTGGAGGGGTTATCCTGCACCCACATCCCAAGAGGAAAAACTGGAACTATGGGAGGTGCACTTTCTCCCTTCCTGTTTGCACATCATTTCCAGCCCCAAAGGGAGCTTTCCTTTGGTTTAGTTGTCGCTTCTAGCAAAGGAAGCTTCGGGTTCAGCTCCAGGGTCAATGAAGGGTCTCTCGGAGGACCTGGAAGAAAAAGTCTGGGGATGGATCCTCAGGGAGAAAAGCTATCGATGAGCTCGGGTGGGAGTCGAATAGGAATTGGTGGCACACAAGGAAGCCCGGAATCAATGAGAACATCTTGGGGGGAAGAACGAGCGTGTCCTTCCACCTTATGTCGCTAGATGGCGCTCCACAAAGAAGCAACCCTCGCGCCTAGCAAGCAGGTACTGTACATCAATAGCTATTCAAGGGAAGAGGGAGAAGCTGAGATTGAACGGGTTTAAACGACAGAGACTTGTATTGCTAGAGAGGACGTGGAGGAGAGGAGCCGAAGGGCAGAGGAACCTCCTCCTCCGTTTCACCCACGGGAGGATAATGGTGTCGGCGGAGCCTCTTGTGCCGTTTGGAGGGTCGAAGCGGCTCCCGGGAGGTGAGTGGACGGAAGGTCGGAGGAGAAGCCGGGAGAAAGTCGGGCCTTTTGGCTTCCTCCACGGCCTGGAAGCAGAGGAAGCAAAGAGGCTGAAACATGTGGGCTGCTGCTGTTGCAGCATATTATTTTCCTCCCCAAAAGTTATCTTTTCGCTGCATGATTTAAAATTGCTGCCTGTGATTTTCTGTTGGGAGATTTAAAAATGATTTATTTAAGCTTCATATTTCTTAGCCGCCCAAATGGCTCAGCTTTCAGGTCTTGGTTATTTTATTGACATGTTGTTTTCCTTGCAAGTGAAGAGTTTCATTTGCAAAACGGATGGTTTAAATTTTGCCCAGGATTTGGTCACCAAGTCATCTGTTAATAGCCCCAATTTTCTGAACTTAGATGAAAAATATGAGCAAATGCACTTCTGGGGCATTTTACACATGAAAATACATACAGATTGTCTACATATGTAAATTTGTAGGTGTGGATATCTATGTGCCTGTGCCTGCGTACCTGAGTGGTTAGCTGTCAAAAAATTAGCCTGTAATGATATATCCTGCTCCTACTTTAACAGGGGGCTGGACTACAAGATCTCCTAGGTCCCTTCCAGCTTTATTCGGAGTGATTGATTGATTGATAGATTGATTGCAAAAGACAATCTTATGATCAAGTCAATATTTGAACTTGGATCTTGCTAATCTTCTATATGCCAAATGAATCATAATTAATATTATGTGTTAAAACAGAATTTTGGTTTTTCCTGCTAATATATGGGGTTGGTTTTTTTGCTGCTTTCACAGGTCCTGCAGCCATTTTTAAACATTCATGAAACTAACTCATTACTGTGAATCTTATAAAGAGAATGCTAAGGAGAGCACGCTGGACAACAGAGAATGAGAAGAAGCATTAAAATCCAAAATGAACCCTTAGTCAAAATATTTTTTCAATTCCTCTTGAAAGTGTAAAAAGTCTTCTTCCTCCGCAAATGAGAGATAAGGGAAATAATAACAAAAACAACGTTTTGAGTCGGAGAAAATAGATTATACGGCACATGAACAATCAAGGAGGAAAATATCCAAATAAAGAAAAAGTGGGAAATACCTAAAAGTCAGTGGAAAGAAAAAAGTCCACGTGGCCAAAATGGGCAGGTATTAGTGAAAGCCTTTGACAAAGGAAAGAATGGCTTGAATCAAAGAATCTCCAAGTAAGAGATCAGAAATATTTTTGGCCTTCTCAAGAATCCTAGAATATCGGTGTTAGAAAAACCCCTAGAAGACTGCCTATTGTGTGAAAAACACATATTGCAGGTCACACTGATTATGCGCAACATGATCCATCCAGTGAAAAGCCATACAAATGTTTGGAGTGCAGTAAAAACTTTACTCTGAAAACCTTCCTCATAATTCATGGAAGGACCCACACCAGTGCTTCCACTGTGACAAAAGATTAAGCATGAACGCCAAGGCGGTGAGACACAAGAGCACTGGGGAGAAACTCTTTGAATGTCCTGATTGTGGGAAAAGTTTCTCTCGGAAATCTACCCTGGTGATACATCAGAGGACTCACATGGAAGAGAGACCATATGAGTGTCTGGATTGTGGGAAAAGCTTCAAGGAGAATTCCAAGCTCGTGATACATCGGAGGATTCACACAGGAGAAAAACCATATGAGTGTCCAGATTGTGGGAAAAGTTTCAATTGGAATTCCGATTTGGAAGTACACCAGAGAACTCACACTGGAGAGAAACCATATGAGTGTCCTGATTGTGGGAAAAGCTTCTCTCGGAATTCTAACCTGGTGAAACATCAGAGGACTCACACAGGAGAGAAACCATATGAGTGTCCGGATTGTGGGAAAAGCTTCTCTCGGAATTCTGACCTGGTGAGACATCAGAGGTCTCATACTGGAGAGAAACCATATAAGTGTCTGGAGTGTGATAAATGTTTTATTCAAAATTCTCACCTGCTTATACACCAGAAGATTCACACGGGAGAGAAGCCATATGAGTGTCCTGATTGTGGGAAACGTTTCAATCGGAATTCTGACATGGTGATACACAAGCGGACCCACACGGGAGAGAAACCATATGAGTGTCCTGATTGTGGGAAAGGTTTCTCTTGGAATTCTAATCTGGTGAAACATCAGAGGACTCACAGAGGAGAAAAACCATATGAGTGCCCGGATTGTGAGAAATGTTTCAGTCAGAATTCCTACCTAGTGAAACACCAGAGGACTCACACAGGAGAAAAACCTTATGAGTGTCTCGAATGTGGGAAAAGTTTTAGTTGGAATTACAATTTGGTGACACACTGGAGGACTCACACAGGAATAAAACCATACGAGTGTCCGGATTGTGGGAAAGATTTCAGTTGTAGGTCTAGCCTTCTAAATCATGTAAGGTTACACATAGGAGAGTAACCATTTGTATAACCCAGATTGTGGACAGTGTTTTGCTCACAATTTCTCCCTTATCACTTAAGAAATTCCACTTGAGGCAAAATTTGAAGTTTGTAGAGGACTCTAGAATTTAGTTTCTTGTCTTTTATGGAAGCGCACCTCAGCAATTAACTATGTAATTTTTTGCATGATTCTTTTTAATGAAACGTGTTAGTATCAAACTTCAGGGAGGAATAGAATAGAATAACAAAATTGGAAGGGACCTTGTAGGTCATCTAGTCCAAACCAAGCAGAGGACCCTATACCATTTCTGACACATGGCAGTCCAGTCTCTTCTTCAGGGGCTCCAGTGATGAAGCACTCACAACCTCTGAAGGTGAGCTGTTCCACTGATTGATTGTTCTCACTGTCAGAAAATGTATTCTTACCAGTTTCCATCCATTGTTCCTTGTCTGGCCTTCTGGTGCTTTGGAAAATAGATTGTCCCCCTCCTCTTTGTGACAGCCTCTTAAATATTGGAAGACTGCTATCATGATTCTTGTCTTCTCTAGACTAGCCCTGGCCAGGTCCATATATTTTAGCCTGCAGGCCTCTAATTTGAGCGTCTTTTCTCTGTCCCAGTGAGATAGTTCCCTCACAGAGTCAAGGGGAGCCATGGCACGACAAAACCGCGCCCGACTAAGCCGCGCCCGATTAAACTGCGTCGCTGATGTCATCAACAGGGCGACAACAGCGAGCGCGGAGAAAAAAGGGTGCTTTAAATAGCGCTTTGAAAGCAAGCCGATTTAACTTAAGGTAAGGGTTAGCTTTAGGGTTAGCTTTAGGGTTAGGGTTGGGTTTAGGGTTAGGATTAGGTTTAGGGTTAGGTTAAGGGTTAGGTTAAGGGTTAGGATTAGGGTTAGGATTAGGGTTAGGTTAAGGGGGGTTAGGGTTAGGTTTAGGGGTTA